GACAGAGGAGAGACCGGAGAGAAAAGATAGAAAGACAGGGAAAATAGAGACAGAGAGAGACAGGGAGAAAGAGAGACAGGGAGCAGATAGAAAGACAGGGAGAAGAAGGGAGAAAAGAGACAGAAAAAAGAGAGAATGGAGACAGGGAGAAAGAGAGAAGGGAGACAGGGAGAAAGTGGGAGAAAGAGAGAAGGGAGGTAGATGGGGGGACAGACACACAGCGAAGAGATAGACAGACAGACAGGCGGAGTCATTCACACGCAGGCCCCACATGCAAGGGCAGGCAGATATGAAATCAGAGAGAGAGAGAGATTCAGAGAGAAAGAAGAGAGATTCAGAGAGAAAGAGAGAGAGATTCACAGAGAGAGAGATTCAGAGAGAGAGAGAGAGAGAGAGAGATTCAGAGAGAGAGAGAGAGAGAGAGAGAGAGAGAGAGAGAGAGAGAGAGAGAGAGAAGAGAGAGATTCAGAGAGAGAGAGAGAGAGAGAGAGAGAGAGAGATTAAGAGAGAGAGGGAGAGAGAGAATTGGACGGAAACATAAACGCTTTTGGTTCAGGAACGTGCTGGCATGTATGAACATCAGGTTTGTATATTTTTTTATATCATTACTGTCCCTAATGACACCTGCCTTGATCTGTCAGCGTTATGACCTCTTCAGACTGATTCAACTCCGTCCCTCTGCTTTTGTATTTTTTATTGTTTGTTTCTGTCTTTGAATTATTTATTTCATCTTGTTATCCTTTGTTTAAGTCCTGTTCTTTCTATCGTTTTCTGTTATAATCGCCTCTTCTATATTTATCATGCCTTTCTCTTGTGTCCTATAATCTTAAATTTTCCGCGTTAACTTCTCTCGTTTTGCTCTTCTTTCCTCATTCGCCCATTTTCCTTTAATGGTTCTCCGTTTCTCTTGCCCATTTCATCTCCTCTCTTCTTCTTTTTTTTTCTCTCTCTCTCCTCCCCTCACCCCTTTTCACGCTCTGTCGCTCACTTGACACTTCCCCTCCTTTCTCCTCTCCACTTTTCCTACCCTTTTCGCTCTCCGTCGCGTATTCTTTCTCTCTCTCTTTTTTTTCTCTCACTCACTCCGCTTCTCTCTCTCTCTCTCTCTCTCTCTCTCTCTCTCTCTCTCTCTCTCTCTCTCTCTCTCTCTCTCTCTCTCTCTCTCTCTCTCTCTCTCCCTCTCTCTCTCTCTCCTCTCCCTCTCCCTCTCCCCTCCTCCCTCTCCCTCCTCCCTCCCTCCCTCCCCTCCTCCTTCCTCCTTTCCCTCTCCCTCCTCCCTCCCTCCCTCTCCCTCTCCCTCTCTTTCCCTTTCATCTTCCCACCTCGAAGGAATTCAGTAGCTTCTCCGCGCACATACTCATCCTGATATAGTGGACAATCGCCCACACTAGCGTCCTCACATCCTCCTCCTGCCTCTGCCTCACTCCTCTTTCCTTCTCCGTCTCTCCTTCTTTTCCTTCTGCTTCTTCATCGTTTTCTTTTTTTCTTCTTCACCTCCTCGTTCTCCTTCTCCTCCTCCTGCGTCCATCTCATTCGTTCCCCTCGCCTACTCCTTTGTCTCCCTCTCCTCCTCCTTCGCACCCCCCTTTCTCTTCCTCCTCCTCCTACTTTTCTTTTTCTTCTTCTTCACCTTCTCCTCCTCCTCCTCCTTATTCACCCTCTTTTCTTTCTCTTTCTCCTGCTCCTCCTCCTCCTCCATTTCTCCTTTTCTTTCTTCTTATCCTTCTTCTTTTTCTCCTCCTCCTTCCTCCTTTCCCCTCCTCCTCTTTCCTCTCTTTTTTTTTCTTTTTCTTCTCCAGAGACGATAGGAATCGAATTCTGTTCCGCCAGCATTAAAGTTTCATACTCGATTGTGGCAAAAAATAGGTATATATATAAAACAAAAGAAAGGGGAAAAAGTTATACTCCAGATAAGCTCAGTGTTTTAAAAGCCCCAGTGAGATCACCCTGGGTCGTATTGAGAAAATGGTCGGGGTTTTGCCTTTTTTTACGTATTTTTTGTTTTTTTTCCTTTTTTTCTTTTTTTTTTTATGCTGTTGATACTGTGATGCCTTATTGTCTGTTTTTAGACCGGTGATTTTTTTTTCGCTTTCATTTGGTTTTGTCTATTAGCTGAGGGCAAAAAGGTCTTAATTGTTTTTTTTATTAGACAATATTAGTACTATCTCTCTTCATTTCTTTTCTTTTCTCCCTCTCTCTTTCTCCTCTTTCTCCTTCTCTCTCACTCTTTCTCTCTGTCTCTCTCTCTTTCTCTTTCTCTCTCACTCTCTCTCTCCATCGCTCCTTCTCTCCACCATCGCTCCTTCTGTCCTCTCCTTCTCTCTTTCTCGCTTTCCTCAAACAGAGAATGACACGGAAAAGTGTTTCCGCCTCTTTAACTTTTTGACCATGAAAATGACAAACCTCGGCCGCCACCAAGCACAACGGCCCCTCTCACCTGCTGCATATTATCCGCTTAAACGGATTCGCCGGCTGCCCTCTGTTGCGCGGCCGCTTCGCTTCGCCTCGTCCGGCCGGTGGTCGTTGGCGGCGCGACTTCGAGGTGGCACGCGCCGACGCACAGGATGG